TTGTTGTTTTTGTTAATCATTGTGGGTTTCATTTATGTACTTATTTATCTGTGTTTGTAACCTTTTTGGTATTCATAATATATTTTAAGTTAATATGTGTCTGTTTGTGTAGGTTTTAATTTGTACAGGATATTAAACAAATATTAACACTTAGTTGACACTATACCTAGCCCAATAAAAAACAAATATATGACTTAAAAACATTTATTATATATATATATATATTATAATCAATAATATAAATCATATTATAATTAACAGTAAACCTTGACATACATCTCAATGTATTTTTGCCTCCATATATTGCAAAGAAAGTAATATAAAAAAAAAATATAATGTTATATTTCATGTTATTTAATGTTATAATTCATATTTTCCTTAAACACAAAATATAATATAAATTCAGAGTAATAGATTACACCAGCTGCTGAAATACTGCCACAGATTACATTTAAGTAAGATCTAGAGAAAGAAGATAACGGGAAGCTCCTCCATTAATCTGTATTTCTGGAAATAAAACATCCTTTTTCAATTTCCCTAAATAATTTAATTAGCCTGTTTCCTGGCTCGTGGTTGCTACGGTAACCAAAGCGCGGCCCCGTGGACTGTAACTGTGCGTTTTGGCGCCACCCCGCGGACAGTTGAGCGCGTGCCCTCTGCCCGCTCTACTCTCGCGGGTTTTCAGGCGCTTAGCAACCTCACAAACTCGCATCCTCGCTCCGACCAATCAGGAGCCACCGGGCGGAGGGAGCCCGCCAATCACGATCGAGGATTCGGGCACCAATTTAAACCGAGAGCAAACGCTTCCTGTTTTGTGAGCTGCAATACACACGAGTGAGGAAACCCAAAAGCCAAACATTTGGACAATTTAAGCCCCTTTTTTATCGGGAACAAAAGCACAAGAGTATTTCACAGACTAATTCGGAAGAGGCAGGATTACATTTATGTCCAACTACAGCCGAGTTTGTCCTACCGTTTCACTAGTTTAGCTAGAATCTCACGTTAAATCCGGTAACTTAACGTTAGATTCGGTTCACAGTAAGATGCCGTCCCGTGTTGAGGATTACGAGCTGCTGCACACGATAGGCTCTGGTTCCTACGGAAGGTGCCAGAAAATAAGACGGAAATCTGATGGGAAAGTGAGTAAATGTTACACGTTGTGTCCGCAAAAAACCCGCTGCTCACCTGCAGGTTAACCTGAGGCATCGTAGCCTTTTGTTGTTGTTGTTGTTGTTGTTGTTGTTGTTACTCGATAAGAAGTTGTACTATCGTTGGTTTCAGTCGCTTTAAACGCTGAACTATGTTAGGAAGTGTGAATATATATATTTTTTTAAATATATAGATTAAAGGAACTTCAATATTAAACGTGTTAATGTGTTTTTTAGCACAAACTTCAAACAGACCTTTTGAGCTTCCGTCCAATAACAGACAGGTGAGGGGAAATGGTGTCTGACTCAGCGTTAAAGCTAATATTTTAGGGTTAATAAGGTGATTGATAACATTACATCATAAATGACTTGTTTTATTTTTCAGAGTAAACAGTTATCTGAACTAAATAAAAAGGTTTAACCTGTTTGTCAGCAGAACAAGCACAGGTGTAGTTGGTTAAGTTCATTAATTAGTAACATTATAGCCGCACACTGCAGGAATAATGTTAGTATATAAACAGAAAATGAGTCTGGAAGTATTTTTATAATCTTTAACAGATCCAGCTTCTGTAATATGATAATGTGCTGCCTTTCCCCTCTTTTATTTGTTGACTGGATAAAGATTAAAGAGATTTAAAATTAGTGGCTGTGGAGTATTTTCTAAGTAAGACAACCCCCCCTTTTATTTAAAAAGTTAAACTTGTAGTAAAACACACCTTTGCTCAGTTCAGTATGCTCGGGGGGGGTTTTGCAGCTACCACCTTGCTTTGTCTGGCATCAGTAGCTTGTGGTGACTATTGTTGGTGAACTTTAGATATTACAAAACAAACTTTCCTGAGTCCGTTTTATGACTTTATGACTCTACTTGTGCTTCTTTGATACAACATTTAATAGTTCAGTGTAATCCCGTAGTTGCCACTGTTCAGCAATAACAACATAAACGGATGTGTTATAATGAACACTTCTGTCTTGTAGATCCTTGTGTGGAAGGAGCTGGACTACGGCACCATGGCGGAGAGTGAAAAGCAGATGCTGGTGTCGGAGGTGAATCTCCTGAGGGAGCTCAAGCACCCAAACATAGTGCGGTACTACGATCGCATCATAGACCGGACTAACACCACGCTGTACATCGTCATGGAGTACTGCGAGGGTGGGGACCTGTCCAGCCTCATCACCCGATGCATCAAAGAAAGGTGACTGTGTGTTGAAATACACGAGTACTGTAGGTTGAGTCCAGACAATATCTGCAGAGTTAAGAGTGTGTTTTTGTCATGGCAGGCGTTATTTGGAGGAGCAGTTGATCTTGCGAGTCATGGCACAGCTCACGTTGGCCCTGAAGGAGTGCCACAGACGCAGTGACGGCAGGGCCACGGTCCTTCATCGAGACCTGAAACCAGCCAACATCTTCCTCGACATCAGACAGAATGTGAAGCTCGGGGACTTTGGCCTCGCGAGGATCCTGAACCATGACACCAGTTTTGCAAAGACATTTGTTGGGACACCTTACTACATGTCTCCTGTGAGTTGTTTAATTCTGCCGTGTTGAGATGCTGCTGAGGTTTTTCCTCTCAAACTACCCTATTTGCCACGAACTGTCAACATTTTTTCTTTCAGGAACAAATAAACCGGATGTCATACAACGAGAAGTCCGATATCTGGTCGCTGGGATGTTTGCTGTATGAACTCTGTGCATTATCGTAAGTTATCCCACTCCTCTGCCTGAGCTGAATTCCCCAGCAGCCGGTTTGTTGACTGCATATCTGACATTTACCCTGGATTTCTCCGGTTTAGTCCTCCGTTTACTGCTTACAACCAAAAAGACCTGGCAGAGAAGATCAGAGTAGGGAAATACAGAAGAATCCCGTACCGATACTCTGAGGACCTGAACACTTTGCTCAGCAAAATGCTCAACCTGAAGGTTAGAAATGAATTATTGAACAATCCTATCATTTTTTGACGATATCCATTAATTTTGTCTTGAGTTACCGCTGCTCAGGTACTAGTCAGTTTGTGTTTTGATGTAGGTAGAGGACAGTAATCAGTGTTTCTCTGTTTCCAGGACTATCTGAGGCCCTCTGTGGAGTCTATTCTCCAGAGCAGCCTGTTGGCTGACGCCGTCGCTGAGGAGCAGAGGAGGGCACAGGTGCGACTCCGAAGAAAGTCTGCAGAGTCTGACTGTCCCCTTCACAGGCCGTCTGAACCGGCAGCCGCCTCTCCCGCAGAGCTCAGACTCAGGGAACAGGCGCTGCGAGACAGAGAGAAGGCGCTGAAGGAACGTGAAGAGATGCTGGAGCGTAAGACTTTTATTTTTACTCCCCATTCTGACACCCAGACCCACATGTGGTCAGGGTTTAATCGTCTGCTGACCTGTAGCTGGGCTTTGAATTCTGAATACATCGTTTTCTTTTGTGAAAACGTTTTGTATATCATTCTTCAAGTAAAAGTAGTACTGCATTTAAATCTTTCTAAAGTGGGATCTATAAGTGAAGTAATATAAGTGAACACTGACATTCTCTTAAACTATCCTGTTGCGCCAAGTCCTAAATGTTGTTTATGTTGTAAATGTTGTAACAGGTTTGTGACAGAAATGTTCTTCCTCATCTAAAGTTCCTTGTTGACAGTGAATGTATATTGCTATACTTACTGCATCTCAAGTATGTGCAAATAAAACAGTGTTTGTGTCACCTGGCAAATGCTACAAAGTCCGAAAATAAAGATGTTTAGTTTTTTTGTCTCTGTCACAGAAAGAGAGCAGGAGCTTTGTGTTCGTGAGCGACTGTCAAATGAGAAGCTTGTGAGGTAAAACTTCTCTAAGAAGACTAGAAATGAAACAACCCATGCTCCTAAAATGTCATTCTTTGTCTGAATTCAACTGATTGGTGCCAACTGTATCCTGATCTACCGTTTCAGAGCTGAGGGTTTACTGAAGAATTACAACCGTCTACAGCAGCAGAGGGACCTGTCTCCGTTCTATGGCAAAGACATAGGTATGGGAATTGGACAACGCCTCTAGACTTATTGAACGGAGACCAGAACTGAGCAACGTTTTTATGTGTTTGTGCATCTGTTTTGGAATGTGGATGACTAAAATCAAGTTTATTTATTACTTTTTTAAATCATGTAAATACTGTTTTAACACTAATAAAGAATTTAATTACATCTGTTTTTTTTTTTTCTTTTTTTTGTTAAATAAAGACTTTCAGCTCATATTACACGCCCGACAATCTGAAATGCAGCTGTCATGTTGTATTGGAAACTGTTGTAAGTGCTGCCTGATGATCTAAAGTTTAGTCTGATCTTTGTTAATCACTGACTGCTTACTGTCTGGTCACAGATGAGGAGAACCTCTCCCCCGGCAAGAAGAAGGTCCACTTTGCTGGTGAGAGCAAAGAGAACCGGCGGCCTGATGGTCGTCAGAGTGAGTCGCCCCAGGAGCTGATTTTGAGGAGGCTGCAGGTGGCCAATCAGCGCGCTCAAGTACTGAACGAGGTGGAGAAGACCTGTCAGTTCAGGAGCAGGCAGATACTGGGCATCCGCTGATCATACAGATCTCACTGTATGACTTGTGACCGAATGTGAAAGCTGCTGAAGGCTATGAGTCATAATAACTGGATGTAAATAACTTTTATTTATATGATAATTCAGTAGCTGTGATGGTAGTGAAGCTAAATTATTCAATCCAGTGTGCTGTCGTGTGTATGTTACTGTAAGCTTTGTAGTGTCAGAGTTTTATTCAATTATTTAGCTTTTGTGAATGTACTGTATGTTATTTCTAAATATATGTCAGTTTTTATTTTACAAATAGACATAAACTGGCAGATTCTAGGATGATCTGTAACAATACAACATAATGTTGTAAGTACTTGTGAGGTTTAGAGATTGATAATCCTGAACTGTGATGGCAACATTAAAACTATGCAGAAAGAATATTTGTGAATTGTAAGTTATTACTTCTAATTGTAGAAATAAGATCAAATATATTGTATGCACATACATGTACTATGAATACACATTACATAGTCAGATGAAACATACATACTAGTAAAGTTTGGTTCGATGTTTAGCCTAAGAAGTATATAGAAAGTATTTTATGGAAAATCCTCTGTTGTACGTGAATCAAAACAATTACTCAAGAATAATTAGTCTGTAATTACCATCACAATAACATTACAAAGGCACTCTGAAGTGATCAAGACAGATAACTCCCACAAGGGGTCATCGGTTTCCCATTTAAAGAGACTGCGGCTGATTACAGGCAACACACAAAGTCGTTTGTTCTTGATTAATAGTTCACAGGGTACAATTAAGAAGCACAGTTGTATTATGTTGTGCTCCGTTTTTTCAAGTTGTTTTCAATAAAAAGTTTCCAGGTTACAGTTTAGTAAATAAAAAAGACACACACACACACAATGATTAGATTGGTCTCCAACAATGGAACCTGAAAAGCAATTATTGTTTATGAAAGTATCCTGTTGGACAAAGATAAAACTACCTTTGGCTTACCGCCATTAAAAACTATTTATGTTTTTTTTGTTTTAACACATAAAGTAATATATACCACACTGAGACACTTGTTTATTTTATTTTATCAGCTTCTGTCATTACAAATACTCTAAATCCATCCATAAAAGGGTGTTTCTTTATTTACATCGATGTCTGTTTCGATAGATTAGGTTTTCTAGCTCAAGTATCGATACTAACGTTACAATACAGATCGATTTAGGTTGCTATCGCGAGATCACAGTTACCGTTAGCGTGCGTAGCAACCGCTGTTGTCTAGCCTCGTTTGCTCCGCCCACTTACGAGACTTGCGAAAAGCGACCAATCACAGCCCGCCTTGCACCTTCTCCGCCAATGGGAATCCCCCGGGGGGGCGTGTCCTCGCCGTGCCGTGTTCCGTGTGGAAAGTTTACCGGCTCGGGTGCAAAGTTTCAGCCGTCTGCAAACGGGAGCTCGTCGGTAAAACGTCTGCGGAGAAAAACCGACGACGACCGCGGACGCACTCATCCGTTAACGACACCCGTATCGTGGATCCGTTTCACCCGCGGTCGCCCTTCCCGCGGAGCCGAGTGATGCTGCCGTCGCTAGACAACCGCAGTGAACGAAGACGCCGTTAGCATCCGTCGTATTGTCTCCGCTAGCCTCACGTAAAGCGTTACAGCTAACGTTAGCGGGCTGACGTCTCACCGAGCTGCTTAGAAGAAGAAAAAAAAAAACAAGTGAAAAACGGTTTGTTTGTTTGTTTTTTGTCCTTTAAAAACATTAAC